ATCAGCTATGGCAGAGGTATTGGTTCTGCCGCGTTTCAAATCTGCCTTATGTTCGCGAACATGGCCCGAGACATGTCGTTTCGTTTCCCCAATGTAACTGCTGCCGCAGACACAACTTAGATTGTAGACACCAGGATATTGCATGTCAGGAATCACATCCTTCACAGATGGGATCAAATCATGAATTTTGTGTACTGTGATGAACCGAACCCGGATTCTTGTGCCTGCTCAAGATTTTGGAAATCTTTTTGGTAATCCCTGCTATGTATGGCAAGGTGATGGTTTTCATTTGGTCCTCAGATGGTTCTCTCCCCATGGTTGGGGATACAGCTTTGCGGATTGTGTGGTCTGAATATCCATTCATCTTGAGGGCTTGGTGTACATGCTCCAGCTCACTGGCTAGGTGGTGCTGGTCCTAGATGCAACAGGCCCTATTGTGTAGTGTTTTGATGAGGGAATTCTTCTGGGCTGGATGGTGATGGGAATCAGGCTTTAGATAGGAATCAGTGTGGGTGGCTTTCCTGTAGACCAGGGGTCCTCAAACTACGGCCCGCGGGCCACATGCGGCCCGCCGAGGACATTTATCCGGCCCGCCGGGTGTTTTTGCCGCCGCTGCCTGTCTGTTACTTTTTTTCTACATGAGAAGGACGGTCATTGGTGGAAGAGGGAGAGGGGGCGGAGTTCCCCCCAATCAGACTGCATTGATGGGCAGTGCAGTCTGTATGTCTCTGTGTGGGCAAAGTTATTGCTGGTATATTGTTTTAGTAGCGCTGTATATATATTGGTATTTTACTAATAGCAATTTTGACTCCCTAGGAAACAATGATGTCAAGAAAGAGAAAAATTGACTCGGAGTGTAGGATATTCAAAGAACAGTGGACTTATGATTACTTTTTCATGCAGTACAAGGAAAGAGCTGTGTGTCTGATATGCCAGAATATAGTGTCTGTGTTCAAAGAATACAATTTACGTCGACACTATGAAACTCAACATAAAGATAAATATGATTGTTTGGTCGGAGAAGTGAGAAAAGATAAAATATTAAAACTGAAAAATACATTAACAACTCAGCAAAATACTTTTGTGAAGCAGAAGCAGCTAAATATTTCATCACTACGAGCAAGTTTTCAAGTTGCCAAGCTAATAGTGTGCACTGGCAGACCATTCGTGGAGGGAGAATTTGTTAAAGAATGCCTTCTTTCTGTTGCCAAAGAGATGTGTCCAGAGAAGGCCGATTTATTTAGTACAGTGAGTCTTTCAGGACCTACAATTACACGGAGGATTGAAGAAATGGGAGACAATTTGCATCAGCATTTGCAAAACTCCACAAAAAAACTTTCCTATTTTTCCTTGGCACTCGACGAAAGCAATGATGTTCGTGATTCTGCACAACTTCTAATTTTTATTCGTGGGACGAATGACTATTTCAAAGTCACAGAAGAGCTTGCTGCACTGCAAAGCATCAAAGGAACAACTACAGGAGAGGATATCTTTCGATTTAAAGCTTTCGTGACTGCAGGGATTCATCTTCTTGGTTCTTTCGGTAAAGTCACATAGAAGGGAAGTAATAAAATAATAAAAGTAAAACATAATAAAATAATTCTCACGACGTTTCGGCCACAACGCAAGCAGCCATCCTCAGGTGAAAACCAGGTCTGTTGGGGAGACAGCGTCTGAATGAAACAGCACACGAGCTTGGAGCATATATAAGCTGGGTTGGAAGCGGGGGGAAAGAGCGCCTTGACAAAATAATTTGCATATCAAGAGGAATTTAGCATATTTATGGGAAATGCAGGAATGTGATTAGTACTACATATGCCCGTGCTGCATCTCTTCCACAAGGACGTAGGGTGGATATCTGGATGGCATCCGTCTCAAATTTCTCCATGAAAACATTTGCTACCACTGGTGATAAGGGAGAACCCATAGGGGTACCTTCATTTTGTTTGTAGAATGTACCATTACAGGTGAAGTGTTGGTTAGGCAGTGCCTCACCAAAGTTGGTACATCAGGATTCAGTCCCTGTTGGACCAAGTCTTCAATGATTGCAATGGTGTCAGGCACAGGTACCTTGGTGAACAGAGAGACTACATCGAAATTGACAAGCAAATCATCTGGAGATATCGAGATGTCCTTGATTAGAGAAACCAGGTGAGCTGAGTTAAGTACAGCTGAGGTGGTCTTGCCTGTGAATGGGAGCAGGGTCTCAGACAGAAATCGGGCCAGTTTGTAGGTGGGTGAGTTAATGGTAGATACACACATTAAAAAGATATATGTTAACAAGATTGTTATCAATCAGAGTAACAGCCCAATTTCCGAAATCCTAAAATCCCCTTGAGATAGCAAACACCATGAAGAAATTCCAACCACGAGGGAAGAGGGGGGGGCAACCAAGCAGCTGCAACTACAGGAGAACGACATCAAAGGGATTCCGTTTTTGCGAGAGACGCGCAGAGGGGGGAGAATTTCAGATATAAGCAACAACACAGAACACGCAATTTAGTCTTGCTACGGCAAGCTCCGAGGGGTGGGCCCCGCAATCGACCATGGATGACAAGGCTTGCAGAGATGTGTCGGCGCTGACAGACGAAGTATTGCTAAAAGTTGTATTCTACATTGAGTGCCAGCTCCCACCAGCAGCTGCAGCAAGAGAGAAAGAGTGACGAGCAATGACAAGCAATCAACCTGGAGAAAGGGTGGAAAGCGCCAAGCATCGACTAAGCGAGCATCGAACAGGACCAGCAGAAGCGGCTATCGATTAACCACGAGCGTGCGGACTCGGAAGCCGAGCACACTCCTGCAAAGGTCGAGTCTACAACCGTGCCTGGTGCAAGGGAGAGAGCGTGACCGGCGCAACCGAGAAAGAGTGTCGGCGCTGGCGAAGGTGACAGGTGTTCGACACACACATCGACGCAACACAACCGAGAGTGTCGGCGCTAGCGACCAGCGGACGAGCTGGGAGCACTATCGGGCACCGCCGAAGGCGAGCATCGTACCAACTCAATCACCTAGCAGTGGAGAAAAGAGCGTGACCAGCGCATTCGAGAAAGAGTGTCGGCGCTGGCGACCAGCGGACGAGCTGCGAGCGCTATCGGGCACCGTTGAAGGCGATCATCGTGCCGATTCAACAATCATCCAGCAGTGAAGCCTGGATCTGCCACCGAGAGAGTGCCATGTGTATGCCACGCCCACACACACCGCCCAGCAGGGAACCGAGATATTCTCGGTAAAAGGAAAGCCCCACCTCGGCGCCCGCTTAATTCAAAGAGTTGAGCACAAAGACAATACACCCACACACATAACACACATAGCAGGACTAATAAGATTGCTCCAAGTTATCTGTGTTTCGAAAAGGACCATCTTAAGGTGGTTCGTTAACTATTAGCTGATCGTGGAAAACATTGTTCGGTCTATTGAGCTGTAGAGGCTAACCGAAATTCGGTTTCGGTGCCGAAAGTTGTCAACCGATTATCTATTTTTAGAATATAACACTAGTGCTACATCTATCACTCTGCCTATCGGCCGGTCAGTCGGCGCTAGGCAATCCTATGCGATAGGCTGCAAACACACACGTCAGCAGCAGCAGCAGCAGCGTGGGAGCGAGGTTACAGCCGCAACCATGGTCTGCTAATGTATATACGACCAGTCAACAGACGGCAGCCGGTCTGGCTAAATGCGGAAAAACTGTTGTTTCATAACTATATAATTACTAAGTAACACCTAAAGATTTGATATTTAGCGACTCTTACTGCAGGCTCTGAATGATTAATTCTAGATTTATTTTTAATTAAAGTAGCATTGCATCATGACATATTTCATAAATCTTGTGTTCGGTAACTTCAGTTATATACCTTTCTGTTTCAGTCTTGGTCGAAAGTCTAGTTAAACTTTCGGTTTCGGCTTCGGTTTCGGCCGAAAGTGTCGTTAAACTTTCGGTTTCGGCTTCGGTTTCGGCCAAAAGTAAATTTTTTACTTTTGGTCTGGTTTCGCTTTCAGGCCGAAATCAGAAATTTAGTTTGGGTCGGCCTCTATTAAGCTCCATGAATATGATCGTTTAGAAGTATTTTAGTCATTCGGTTCGTTAATTGCATAGCTTTCAAAATTAATTGACGCTAAACCTTTATAAGCATCACTAAACCTTTATAAGCATAGATGTTATGAATCTACACGCTCACAGGAATACTATTGTGATTTGAAGCTTTCGTAACTGCAGGAATCCATACTCTTTGGTTCTTTTGGTAAAGTCACGTAGGTAGCAATAAAATAAAATACGACGTTAAGTTGTCCTGCTGTATCGGTTCCACCTGATGACGGTCGCTTGTGTTGAGATCGAAACGTCCGCAAGAACCAAAGAGTATGAATACTATTGTGTTCAGATTTATTTTTGATCACGGAATCTTGCCCGCGAATCAATTCAAGTCCATTAGCCATTTCGTCAATTGCATAATCTTACCAATGAATTCATTGAAAACTACTTTTGCCTTGTGCACATGTTCCTTTACTGCTGTTCGTATGAATATTTTCACATTAATTTTTAAGGACTTATTCCTATTGCCGTGTATGGTCGCTTTACTCCGAGGAATTAGCCAATTGTTCTGTTACCCAGTTTAACAAACATAACCATTGAGGGTTAATTGTATGGATCAAGGAGTCGGACATCTCCAGGAGTACTGTGTTAACAATTCCGAGCATAAGATTTTGCATATTAGAGTGTTTTTAGATATTAAAGTTGCTCAACACAGATTCTAAATGTCCCTTACCAAGTTTATGCATAATCTTAATTATAAGAACTGTATCCTGCAGTAAGATCTGAATTCTGAGAACTGACGTAAAACACACTAAAATATAATAAGTAAAAGTTGAAGCAATAATCATTGTATTATCATGATTGATAATACACTCCGAGACAACGAAGCCGAGTCTAATTAGCACAAGTCCATAATTTGCATAATTACATTGATTAGTATACTTTCGAAAAATTACACATTTTCAATTTTCATTTCATTTTTTTATTTTTCAAGACCTAATATATACAACACATAAAAAATACAATGAAAACTTCACCAGTTGAATCAGGTATACTTTAGATGAACTGTAAATTACAAAGCATGGTACCATATTATGTACCATATATCAGGTGGGAAATAATATATAGATGTTTATATTTACTACAATTCATCCTATATTCATGCATTTGTGGCTAGTGTAGCCTTAATTTTATGCTTTTTCTGATGCTTTTTCAAGTGACTGTTGCTCAAAAAGCTGCTCCCACACTGGTCACATACATATGCCCTCTGTCCAGCATGCATTTGTTGGTGTTCCTTCAGATGAGACATGCATATAAACGCCTTGGCGCACTCCGTGCACACGTACGCCCGCTCACCGCTGTGGCCCTTCTGGTGAACTTTAAGGTTGGACTTGAGAGAGAAGCACTTTCCGCACTCGTGGCAGGTGAAGGGCTTCTCACCGGTGTGCGTCCGACCGTGGTCCTGCAGGTGCTTGCGATGAGCGAATGTTTTGCCGCACTCGGAGCAAGCATAGGGCCGCTCGTTGGAGTGCATCACGCGGTGGGACTTGAGGGCTGAGCTCTGCACAAAGCCCTTGTGGCACACTTCGCACACGTATGGCCGTTCCCCGCTGTGCCACCTCTGGTGGGTCTTGAGGTACGACAAATAAATAAACTTCTTTCCGCACTCGTCGCACACATGCTTCCCGTCAAGTGTGTGCGTCTTCTGGTGGATTTTCAGGTAGGAAATCATCATAAACTTTTTCCCACACTGCTCGCAAGCATGCTCCTTCTCTGCGGCATGTCTCTTAATGTGTGCATTGAGGTTAGCGCGATTCACAAATGACTTGCCACACTTGTCACAGGTCAGAGACTTTTCGGTGGTATGCGTGTTCTGGTGGTTCTTCAGGCTCGACTTGTGCGCAAACGCTGTCCCACACAACTTGCAGAGAAAGGGCCGTTCGCCTGTGTGCTTCCGTTGGTGGGTCTTGAGTAAACAATTGGTGGAAAAGCCCTTCCCACAGTTCTGGCACACGTGTGGCTTTTCACCTGTGTGTGTCTTCTGATGGTGTTTCAGGTTCGAGTTTGTGGAAAACGCCTTCCCACAGTCCTGGCAGACGAATGGCCTCTCTCCAGAGTGTGTGCGCATGTGAGTCTTCAGGTGCGATGTGTAGAAGAATCCCTTCCCGCATTCATCACACATGAATGTACGCTCTGCCATCCCTGGAATTGCCGTCAAAAGCACAGATAGGGAGACAATTGAACACACAGTACATACGGTATATGCAGCGCAAAATTATCCGTCTTCCACATTGTCCGGCATGTAATCCGGCAAAACCGGCATGTAATCCGGCAAAACCGGCATGTAATCCGGCATGTAATCCGGCGATCACCAGAAAACTGCTCCAAAGGCTGTACCAGTCTGGCGATCAGCACCATGTGTGTGACAAAAAAGTATTTATGCTTGTTTTCAGTGTCAAATATTATATACAGCATATACAATACAACTTAAACAATGGAAATACTGCACTATGTATATATTTCATGACTAATAACTAATGAAAACATGAAATACAGTTCGATCCTGCAAAAAGTATGTTTTTTTTTACTAAACATACCTTTACAGCTGAACGAGGCAGCATTAATGAAATCAATCATTAAATTGACACTTAAATTTCACTCCTGATGTCGGCATCACTACTGGATGCACACACGCACTCACACGTGTGACATCACTGCCACACAGGCCTGCACACACACACACATGACGTCATCCCGTCCGGAGGCGGGAATGACGTTAGGGCCGGTTCAGGGCTCGGAGGGGCCACGGGTGTGGTGTGAGGACATGGCACTCTGTGTGCCTCCGGCTGGACACATGACCGGATCCCAGTGGGGGCTGGGGGCCCGGGGGGCACCTTGGGGGGGCACGTGGACAGCAAGGAAGCTTCGAGAGGGTTCTCGAAGAGAGGCGTGTCCGGGGTGGGGCCCGGGCACGCCGAGGCCCATATAAGCAGCCTCCTCACGGGGTTCGAGGCTGCTCGTGTCAAGAATGAAGATGCATCGTGAAGACGTCCCAAGAGAAGAGTCAAGCCTCCAGTCAGCGTGACCAGCCAAGAGCCCACCTGGCTGGGTCACGCCAGTTGCATCCGAGAGTCCGTGTTAGAGAGACGGTGTATGTTAGATAGAGTAGGTCGGTGGACAGCACCCTATGTTAACAATGTTAAGAAAATAATAAAGTGTTGCCTCCCAAGAAGTCGTGTGTGCGCCTAATTGAGCCCATTACACCTGCATTCACAGCCGGAATTACAGCGGTGCTGGCTCATTACTGTCACACGGCCATTGTGGAAACCTGAAGCAACATCTCTCGTAAATGTTGTCAGCACTGACCGCAGCTGTGGTACAGGGACCACAACCCAAAGGCACAGGCCAACTGCCTTCGACAAATACTACTCAGCGCCTACGTCTACTCAGTGTGCGTGCGCACTCACCACTGCGATGCCGCTCGCCGGGGGGGTCAGGAGGGGAGGGGGGGTGCGGAAACGCCATCCTGGCCAAATCAGCAACTGCTACCTCAGCAGCTGGAGGGAGGACACATAGAAGAGAGTGTGGGTGGAGGGACACAGGTAGCAAAGTGTTGGTGGCGGGAGATAAGAGGTACAGAAGGAGGTTCTGTTTATGGAAAATCCGTCGGCTGACCCTACCATTGCACGTGCTTTTTATGGGTTCTGTGTCTGGAGGGGTCCCTGTGAGGGCAGTATCATGTGTTCCTGTGACCTCGCTCTCAGCATCAGCAACAGCTGCAAACGTGGCATGTGGATCTGTGAAAGCAAATAGCACCAGGGCTCACGAGTGAACTTGGAACTCAGCAGAGAATTGAGAGCAGCACACACCCTCGCAATCAAGATACAGGCCTCCCCCAGGTCACCAATGGCCATGGACAGGAATCAAACCCAGCTTTACAGACACTGTGGTGAAAGCGTGCAAACGTTTCTGCTCTAATCTCCACACATATGTGAAGTTATATTCTAAACATTCACCCCTCCACAACTGCAGTAGCTGAAAGTGACAATGTCACTACTCTGCCTGTGCCAGGCTAGGTGCAATGTGACATCATGTGACATGGTGATGATTTCATAGTCGACTAACCTATAGGCCATCCAAGGATGGGTGTATTGCAGTAAATCTGAAATATTAAATCCAAAATAATGTTCCACTAATTCTTATTAATAGGGGAGGTGGGGTGCTCCATATGGAGTGACGTCACCTGCTCGTGATTATTAAGCTAGGGGTGCTCCATGTGGAGTGACGTCACCTGCTCATAATTATTAATGATAGTGTTTAGGAGTTAGCGTGACATCAGCGTTCTGGATTTTAATATATTAAGAATAAGGGACAAAACCGTAGATTAAACGAGTGGGCGACTGACAAAGGCACCACATGGGAATGGAGTGTGGGTGGAGAGACAGGGAACGAAGTGTAGGTGATGCAGCATAGGGAACAGAGTTTGAGTGGAAGGATAAAATGAACAGAATGTGGGTGGAGAGACACGGAGTAGAATGTGGGTCGACAGACAGGAAACGGAGTGTTCCATCTTGGGAAGAACTTTAGGCTGGGTTCTGTTTCTGGAGGGGTCACTGGGCAGTACCATGTGTTCCTGTGACCTCGCTCTCAGCAACAGGTGCAAACATGGCCTGTTGATCTGTGGAAATAAATAGTAGCAGGGCTCATGAGGGAACCTATAACTCAGCACAGAACTGAGGGCAACACAAACCCTTGCAATCATGACACAGGCCTCATCCAGGTCACCAATGGCCGTGGACAGAGTCAAACCGAGCATTACAGACACTGTGGTGAAGCGTGCAAACGTCTCTGCTCTAATCTCCAAACACATCTTCTTGGTTCTTTCGGTAAAGTCACGTAGAATGGAAATAATAAAATAATAAAAATAAAACATAATAAAATAATTCTCACGACGTTTCGGCCACAACGCAAGTAGCCGTCCTCAGGTGAAGAACAGGTCTGTCGATAAGACAGAGTCTGAATGACACGTCCTGGGCTTGGAGCGTCTATTTAAGCTGGGAGGGAGGAGGAAGAGCGCCTTGACAAAATAATTTTCATATCAAGAGGAATTTTAGCATATATACGTAATATTACACTATGTATTATTCTACCCACCCTACTGCACACCACACTGCTGCATATTCACCATACAACTACGACACCATGTATTACCTTGTACATTGTATTAAACATTACAATTTTATACTATTTATTATTATACAATCCGCTATACACTATACCATTGACCGTCGCGTGAAAGATACTAAGAGGAAGCAGCGAAATATGTCAATGGGAGAGTGGTCGTTGGAGACTTTCAGTGGAGCAAAGAATCCATTCCCTGCGGAGAATACAAGATATATAGTCAATGCAAGTGAGTGGAACGCGGTCTGAAAGTCACTGTAAACGTGAACACAATCAGTTAAGATCCGAAATGGTTTATTACGTCCTTCCAATGATTACTGAGCCAGAATCCATCTTCTCGGTTGAAATTGTCTCTGTGTTTGTATATGTGGATCGCCTCATGAACAAATCTCTCATGGTAGCCAGATGGCTTGCAGAGAACCTCTGTCTTGGAGAAGTCAATGTCATGTGAGCCCACTGAATTGTAACAGTGATCTGCCACGGCTGAGGTGTTTGTCCTACCGTGTTTCAAGTCTGCTTTATGTTCACGGATTCGGTCCGAGACATGTCGTTTGGTTTCTCCAATGTAACTGCTACCACAGAGGCAACTTAGTTTGTAGACGCCAGGGTACTGTATGTCTGGAACCACATCTTTTACAGACGGGACCAGATCACGGATTTTATGTACTGTTTTGAATCGGACCTGGATCTTGTGTTTTATCAAGATTTTGGAGATATTTTTTGTGACCCCAGCAATGTAGGGTAAGGTGATGGGTTTGAAAGGCTCCTCAACAGGATCCTTCTTGATGGTTGGAGTGATGGCTTTGCGGATTGTGTAGTCGGAGTAACCATTAGCCTTAAGAGCTTAGCGTACGTGTTTGAGTTCACTGGCAATGTGTTCCTGGTCAGAGATGCATTGGGCTCTATGGTATAGAGTCTTGATTAGGTAATTCTTCTGGGATGGATGGTGGTGGGAATCTGGTTTTAGGTAAGCATCCATGTGGGTGGATTTCCTGTAGACAGAATGGCTCATTGAACCATCAGGTCTCCTTTTAATTAGGACATCCAAAAAGGGTAGCTTGCCATCTTTTTCGACTTCCATGGTGAATCTGATGGCTGGGTGTATGGAATTGATGTGGTCGAGGAATTGGTCTAGAGCAGGTCGGCCATGTGGCCAGATGACAAAAGTGTCATCTACGTACCTCTTCCATAAGGTCGAGCGTAGAGTGGCAGTCTGGATGGCGTCAGTCTCAAATTTCTCCATGAAAACGTTGGCTACAACAGGAGATAGGGGGAGCCCATTGGGGTGCCCTCAGAATGTTTGTAGAAAGTTCCATTCCAGGTGAAGTATGTATTGGTTAAGCAGTGTCTCACCAGGGGGGTACCCCAGTATTCAGTCCTTGATGAACCAAGTCTTCAATGATTGCGATAGTGTCAGGTACAGGCACTTTGGTGAATAAGGAAACCACATCAAAACTGACAAGCAGGTCGTCTGGGGACAGAGAAATCCCCTTGATTGTCGATACCAAGTCAGTAGAGTTTAGTACCGCAGAGGTAGTTTTTCCAGTGAAAGGCCGCAGGATTTCAGACAAAAAACGAGCCAGTTTGTAGGTGGGGGAGTTGATAGTAGAGACAATGGGATGAAGAGGTTTATCTTCTTTATGTATCTTTGGCAAGCCATATAATCTTGGTGGCCTGGCTGCAGAAGGTTTCACCGAGAACTGTTTGGTTTGATCAATTAATGCGGTTGAATCAGAAATTATTTTGTTGGTTTTAATGACGAGGCTGTTGGTGGGGTCTTTTTTTTATTTTTGTATAGCTGCCATCGTTGAGTAGTTCTTGAATTTTGTTGTTGTATTCTATTTTGTCCATGATGACAGTGGCATTGCCTTTGTCGGCTGAGAGGATGACAATGTCATCCCTCTTTTTTAATTGAGCTAATTCAAAACGCTCATCTTTGCTGATGTTGCTAGCTGGCATCTTAGCGTTTTTGAGGGTTGCAGAGATTTCAGATCTTGCTACGTCTGCAGCAATGTGACTCAGGCCCTTGAGAAGCCACATCTACTCGGGCAATGATATCATTAACTGGTATGTGTCGAGGTGTGACTGCAAAGTTTAGTCCTTTAGCTAAAACGGATTTCAGACCATCAGATATAGAACTGTTACTCCGATTAATTACAACGTTGTTAACGTCTAGCTTTTCAGTGTGTGGGTCCGGTCTCTTGTTTGAGAGGCGGTTGAATTTGTAAATCAAGTTGTCATTACATTTGGTCGACATAGCGGCAGCTGAAGAGGCAGTCATTTTGTCTACATGTTCCCAATCCGATGTGGACATTGTTGCAGTCAAAGATAAGTGTGATTTGTAGAGTGTCTTGTCCAAACACATGTAAAGACATTCTAAACATTCACTCCCCCACAACTGCAGTAGCCGAAAGTGACAATGATGTCACTCCTCTGCCTGTGCCAGGCTAGGTGCAATGTGACATCATTTAACATAGTGACAATTTCATAGTCGATAAGAAGTAGAACCATGGATTAAAAGAGTGGGCGACTGACAGAGGCACCACCTGGGAACTGAGTGTGGCTGGAGGGGCACAGGGAACAGAGTGTGAGTGGAGGGACAAGCAGCAGAGTGTGGGAAGACGGAGCAGAGTGTGGGAAGAGTGACAGAGGCATCGGAGTGGTCCTTCTTGGGAAGGTGTTTAGGCTGACTATCGTAGCTCGTGCTCTTGCTGGGTTTTGTGGCTGGAGGGGTCTCTGTGTGGGCAGCACCAGGTGTCCCTAGCGCCTCGCGCCGAGACCTCGCTGGTCAGCATCAACAGCAGCTGCAGAAGTGGCCCCTAGATCTGGGAAAACAAAGAGTGTTTGGGCTCATGATGGAATCTGAAACTCAGTACAGAACTGAGCATAAGGGACAGTGGGAATCGAGTGTGGGTGGAGGGACACAGAGAACAGTGTGGGTGGAGGGACACAGGGAATGGAGTGTGGGTGGAAGGAAACGGAGCCAAGTGTTTCATCTTGGGAAGGTCTTAAGGCTGATTACCTTCATGTGTGCTTATGATGGGTTCTGTTTCTGGAGGGGTCTCTGCGTGGGCAGCACCAGGTGTTCCTAGCGCCTCGCTCCCCGACGCCTCGCTGTCAGCGTCAACAGCAGCTGCAAAAGTGGCCGGTAGACCTTTGTAAACAAACAATGCCTGGGCTCATGATGGAACCTGGAACTCCAGCAGAGAATTGAGAGCAGCACACACCCTCGCAATCAAGATACAGGCCTCCCCAGGTCACCAAGGGCCATGGACAGGAATCATACGCAGCTTTACAGACACTGTGACCAAGCGTGCAAACGTCTCTCCTCTGATTTCCACTCACATGTCAAGACGTATTCTAAACATTCACTCCCTCACAACTGCAGTAAGTGAAAGTGACAATGATGTTACCACTCTGCCTTGACCAGGCGAAATGCAATGTGACATCATGTGACATGGTGATGCTTTCATAGTCGATAAGGTACAGAACCATGGATTAAAAGAGTGGGCGACTGACAGAGGCACGACCTGGGAATTGAGTACGGGTGGAGGGACACAAGGAACGGAGTGTGAGTGGAAGCACACAAGGAGCAGAGTGTGGGAAGAGGGACGGAGGCAGCGGAGTGGTTCATCTTAGGAAGATGTTTAGGCTCACTCTCGTAGCTCGTGCTCTTGCTGGGTTTTGTATCAGGGGGGGTCCCCGCGTGGACTGCACCAGGTGTCCCTAGTGCCTCGCTCCCCGAGGCATAGCTGTCAGCGTCAACAGCAGCTGCAGAAGTAGCCCCTAGATCTGGGAAAACAAACACTGTCTGGGCTCATGATGGAATCTGAAACTCAGTACAGAACTGTGCACAAGGGACAGTGGGAATCGAGTGTGGGTGGAGGGACACAGGGAATGGAGTGTGGGTGGAAGGACACAGGGAGCCAAGTGTTCCATCTTGGGAAGGTCTTAAGGCTGATTACCTTCATGTGTGCTTTTGATGGGTTCTGTTTCTGGAGGGGTCTCTGCGTGGGCAGCACCAGGTGTCCCTAGCGCCTCGCTCCCCGACGCCTCGCTGTCAACATCAACACCAGCTGCAAAAGTGGCCGGTAGACCTGTGTAAACAAACAATGCCTGGGCTCATGATGGAACCTGGAACTCCAGCAGAGAATTGAGAGCAGCACACACCCTCGCAATCATGACACAGGCCTCCCCAGGTCACCAAGGGCCATGGACAGTAATCATACGCAGCTTTACAGACACTGTGACCAAGCGTGCAAACGTCTCTCCTCTGATTTCCATTTACATGTCAAGACATATTCTAAACATTCACTCCCTCACAACTGCAGTAAGTGAAAGTGACAATGATGTTACCACTCTGCTTTGACCAGGCGAAATGCAATGTGACATCATATGACATGGTGATGCTTTCATAGTCGATAAGGTACAGAATCATGGATTAAAAGAGTGGGCGACTGACAGAGGCACCACCTGTGAATTGAGTATGGGTGGAGGGACACAAGGAACGGAGTGTGAGTGGAAGCACACAAGGAGCAGAGTGTGTGAAGAGGGACGGAGGCAGCGGAGTGGTTCATCTTAGGAAGATGCTTAGGCTCACTACCGTAGCTCGTGCTCTTGCTGGGTTTTGTATCAAGGGGGGTCCCCGCGTGGGCTGCACCATGTGTCCCTAGTGCCTCGCTCCCCGAGGCCTCGCTGTCAGCGTCAACAGCAGCTGCAGAAGTGGCCCCTAAATTTGGAGAAACAAACAGCGTCTGGGGTCATGATGGAACCTGCAACTCAGCACAGAACTGAGTGCAAGGGACAGTGAGAATCGAGTGTGGGTGGAGAGACACCGGGAACAAGGTTTGGGTGGAGGGACACAAAGAACAGTCTGGGTGGAGGGACACAGGTAATGGAGTGTGAGTGGAAGGACCCCAGGGAAATGAATATGAGTGGAGGGACATGGGGAATGAACTGTGAATGGAGGGACACAGGGAGTGTAGTTTTGGTGGTGTGACATAGGGAGCGAAGTGTTCCATTGTGGGAAGATCTTGTGGCTGACCCTACCATTGCACATGCCCTTGCTGAGTTTTGTGTCTGGAGGGGTCCCTGCATGCGCAGCACCAGGTATCCCTGATGCCTCGGCATCAACAGCAGCTGGACATGTGGCCCCTCGATCTGGAGAAACAAACAGCACCTAGGCTTAGAATCTGGGAGGTCTTCCAAAGATCCATAAAGAAGGTACCTCACTACGGCCTATCGTGTCCACGATCAACTCTCCTACCTACAAGCTAGCCCGTTTTTTATCGGATACTCTGCTTCCCTTCACTGGCAAGACCACCTTAGCAGTACTTGACTCAACCCAATTGGTTTCTATGGTCAAGGACATTGTACTGTCTCCTGACGATATCCTCGTCAGCTTTGATGTGGTCTCTCTGTTCACCAAGGTCCCAGTGCCTGACACCATAACAATAATTGAAGACTTGGTCCAACATGGACTGAACCCTGATATACCTGCGCTGGTTAGGCACTGCCTCACCAACACTTACTTTACCTGGAATGGTACCTTCTACAAACAAAATGAGGGTACCCCTATGGGTTTCCCCTTATCACCAGTGATAGCCAATGTTTTCATGGAGAAGTTTGAATCAGATGCCATCCAGACATCTACCCTTCGTCCTTCCCTGTGGAAGAGATATGTGAATGATACTTTAGTCATTTGGCCACATGGCCTCCCAGCATTGAACCATATCCTAGACCACATCAATTCTAGACACCCATCCATTAAATTCACCATGGAAGTGGAGAAAGATGGCAAGTTGCCATTCTTGGATGTTCTGTTTCAGAGGCCTGATGGTTCTTTGGGACATTCGGTTTATAGGAAGGTCACCCACACAGATTCCTACTTGAAGCCTGATTCCCACCACCACCCAGCTCAAAATAATTCCCTCATCAAAACTCTATACCATAGGGCTCATTGCATCTCTGACCAACACCACCTGGCCAGTGAATTAAAACATGTACATCTGGCCCTCAAGATGAACGGATACTCAGACCGTACTATCCGCCAAGTTGTTTCTCCCACCATGCAGAAACAACCACCTAAAACTCCGATCAAAATCATCACGCTGCCATATATAGCAGGCGTTACCAAAAAGATTTCCAAAATTCTAAACAAACACAAGATCCAGGTCCAGTTCAATAAAGTACGCAAAATCCGTGATCTGATCCCATTCGTAAAGGATGTCATTCCGGACTTACAGTACCCCGGTGTTTACAAATTGAGTTGTACCTGTGGTGACTGCTTTATCGGGGAGACGAAACAACATATTTCGGACCGAATTCACAAGCACAAATCAGACTTGAAACACGGCAAAACAAATTCTTCGGCCGTTGTTGATCATTGTTACAACGCCGTGGGTGATCATGATATTGTTTTCTCCGATACCAAGGTACTCTGCAAGCCGTCTGGATACCCCAAAATATTTGTCCATGAGGCCTTACAGATATACAAACATAGACATAAGTTTAACCGAGAAGATGGATTCAAATTGAGCAATCATTGGAAAGATGTGATTAACCATGTTAAACCTCAACCGCGACTCTCCCCCGCTCTGCGTCCCCCCTCCCCCATCCGTGGCTCCGTCCTGTAGTACCTCCTTCACCTTCCTGGCTCCACCCACACCCCCCCCCCCCATCCTGCGCCCGTCCTCCTCGGCTCCTCCCCCTCCTCTTACCCTCTTACCTAGGCCTCGGCAAGGTAAGGTAATTTACCCCTTTTTACTGGGTAAAAGAATAAAGGTAAAGGGTAAAGGTGTCGACATGCCAAGGGGTAAGGTACAGGGTTGGGTAAAGGTAGCTCGGAAGAATTACCCAGTAAGGTAAAGGTAGCGCGAAGTATTACCCGGTAAATACGGTACCTTGTTTACCGCTAAAAGCTCCGTGGCGCAGTCCGTGGCCTACATTTAATAAGTAATATTAAAACAAACTTTATTAAAAACACGCTTTTATGAAATGTACGAGTAATGGCAGAACTCCACGACTCTAGGAAGTGGCCCCGAAGCTTGCCATAACGTAAGGGACTGTGGTAATTTACAGCCAACGTCAGGTGAGCGTGGACAATTAGACCCAAGCCGAAACATAACATTTACAAAATAATGTTTAAAAATATATTTTTTATGATAGAATATAGTATTGTCATCAGTATGACCTAAGTATACCAAGTTTGCTGTCGATACCACATTAGGAAGTGGGTAAAAATAGAGTTTCAAGATTTGAGAATACAACAACAATAACGACAACAACAGAGTGAGTTAAAAGAAAGCGTGTAAAATTGGAATAATCGAGAGTATTCTATATGATTAAAGCGCTCTATCTAGTATGTACCGTTATAAACCTTGTTCATGTGTAGTAGTTCCCTAGTAATTACCCTGTAATCGGGTAATTTGTATGGGGTAAGGGTAAAAGGTAGGGTAAAGGTAGGCTCGTTGCATTTTACCTTTTACCTTACTTGCTAAAGGGTAAAAGGTAGGGTAGAGTGATTGTATTGTGGTAAGGTAAAAGGTAGGCTCGTTGTTTTTATCTTTTAACTTTTACCTTACCTTGCCGAGGCCTACTCTTACCCTATATAACAATGTCTCATCACAAATAACTCTCGCTACAGTTATTTTGCTGTGCCTTTTTTACACCTGATGAAGGAAGCTTGTGTTGCCTCCGAAACGTCGTGATTTAATTGAATTTTTCATTTATTTTATTTTATTGTTTTACCTACGTGAAAGGTTTGTACACGAAGCCATACAAATATACAAACACAGACATAACTTCAACCGTGATGACGGTTACAAACTGAGTAATCATTGGAAAGATGTGATTAACCATACAAAAAAGATTTAACTACACTTATTTGCCAATCTTATTTGACAGACAACTATTACAGTTTTACCATGTTTAGTGGTTGTCTCCCTGTCACAGGTTGATTCACAAACCGTACCTCTCCATAACAAAGGCTCACCCTCTTAAGCCTCACCTTACCATATTAATAAAAAGTATGCGGTCTTTGCCCCACCACCTTCTCCAACCATTATATAAACGGAGTGGTAGCTCCTGCAATCTCTCATTTACTTGATACAGCTGTCGTGGCTGTGACGGTCCCACCTGAGGACGGAGGCTTGTGTTGCCTCCGAAACGTCGTGATTTTTATTTTATTTTACTTTTTTAATGTTTAACCTACGTGACTTTACAGAAAAAAACCTAAGAATATGAATCCTTGCAGTCACGAAAGCTTCAAATCTAGAATTACCTACGTGACTTTACCAAAAAAACCAAAGAGTATATGAATCCTTGCAGTCATGGAAACTTCAAATCTAGCACCTAGGCTCACAACAAAACCTGGAACTCAGCACACACCCTCGCAATCATGACACAGGCCTCCTCCAGTTCACCAAAGGCCATGTACATGCAGTCCCCGGGTTACGGAAGGGTTAGATTCCTGAGAACGATCTGTAACCCGAATTTCTTGTATGCCGGAAACTGAACAATTTCCCCCCAAAATCCAGATGAAATCAGATAGCCGCAAATAGTTGTACATCCCCTACCCGATCACTAATTAGCTTTCTTTCAGTATTGTATCACGCTATTGTCTGTTTTCTATCGTTACCTGTATCGTATCGCTGTGCATGCATACGCTCTGCACTTCCTATGATTCTCCAATTTCATAGAATATCTACCCTAACACTACCCGTAATTAAACTAATAGAACATATACTGTATGAAATTGTTCATGAATAACACGAAACATTTTAATATTAAAAGAAATCAGTCAATTCCGAATGAAAAGAAAATAATTATGTAACGCTACAAAAACATTCCATTTACCTGAACCATGGTGAAGCTCGAGCTCAGTGAAGGCGGCATTTTGGTGGAGCGAGGCATAAGTTGGGGATTACCCCTCACGTAACGCAGGGCTTACGCCTCACTCCACGATATTCATCCACAACCTCACCGCGCTGCACTATTTGCGCTCATGTAACTAACGCAAACATTTCCGCATATTAAATGTTTATTACATCATTTATGGGAGCATTTCCATAAAGTTAGATTTCCTCAAGTCGGGTGTTCCGCAACCCAGGAACTTACTGTACATTAATCAAACCCAGCCTTACAGATACTGTGGTCAAGTGTGCCAACATTTTTACTCTGATCTCTACACACATGTGAAGACATTCTAAACATTCACTCCCCTACAACTGCAGTAGCTGGAAGTGACAATGATGTGACTACTCTTCCTTGACCAGGCTAGGTGCAATGCAACATCATGTGACATGGTAATGCTTTCATAGCCAGTAAGGAATAAAACCATGGATTAAAAGAGTGGGTGACTGACAGAGGCACCACCTGGGAATTAAGTGTGAGTGGAGGGACACAATGAGTGGAGTGTTCCATCTTGGGATGATGTTAAGGCTGACTCTACCTTTGTGCTTGCTCTTACTGGGTTTTGTGTCTTGAGGGGACTCTGTGTGGGCAGGACCAGGTGTTCCTAGCGCCTCGCTCTCAGTGGCCTCGCTGTCAGCGTCAGAAGCAACTGTATACGTGGCCCCTAGATCTGTGGAGACAAACAGCGCCTGGGCTCACAACGGATCCTGGAACTCGGCACATAACTGAGGGAAGAACACACCCTCGCAATCATGACACAGGTCTCCTGCAAGTCACCAATAGCCATGGACAAAAATCAATACAGTATTGACTCCCCGGTCAAGCATGCAAACGTTTCTGCTCTCCGCACATACATACAGGCAAATAAAAAATATAAATCCCCCACAATGATGTCACTACTGTGGCTGTGCCAGGCTAACAGCAACGTAGCATCACATCACGATGTGATTTCATAGCCGGTAAGGGGCAGAACCATGGATTACCAGAGTGGATGACTGGCAGAGGCACCACCTCAAAATGGAGTGTGGGTGGCAGGACACAGGGAACAAAAAGTAGGTGGAGGGAGACAAGAACAGCATGTGGGTGGAGTGAGACAGGGTATTTTTTGTGGGAGGGACACAGGGAATGAGACGGGGTGGAGGGACAAAGGGAGTGGAGTGTGGGTGGAGGGACACGGGAAGTGGAGTGTGGGTGGTGACATGGAGCAGAGTGGGGATGGGGGGACAGAGGAAAAGGGATGTGGGTGCAGGGACACATGGAATTTGGCATGGGTAGAGGGCTTCAGCAGGAGGTGCCATTAAGGAAGATCCATCAACTGACCCTACTATTGCACTTGGCCTTGCTGGGTTCTGTGTCTGCAGGGGTCCCTGTGTGGGCAGCACCAGGTGTTCCTGGGGCCTCACTCTCAGCTTCAGCAGCAGCTGGATACATGGCCCCTATGTCTGGGGAAAGGAAAAGCATCTGGGCTCAAGATGGATCCTGGAACTCGGCAGAAAACTGAGCTCATAACACACCCTGGAAATCATGACATGGCTCACGCTGGTCACCAATAGCCATGGACAGGAATCAAACCCATACTATAGACACTGTAATCAAGTAGGCAAATACGTGCATGCATCTTACCTATAAACGTCATTTGTTGTCTGTGTATGCCTATCCTTGTAATATTTTTAACTGACAAACTATTGGGTCTCCCCGACAGACCTGGTCTTCACCTGAGGACGGCTGCTTGCGTTGTGGCCGAAACGTCGTGAGAATTATTTGATGTTTTATTTTTATTCTTTTATTATTTCCCTTCTACGTGACTTTACCGAAAGAACCAAGATGAATCCCTGCAGTCACGAAAGCTTTAAATCGAAATTTATTGGGTTTATGTTTCAACAAAGTACACAAATACAACAAACTAAGCTCCCGAATGAACACTTGCTATTTGTTTTTACCCTTGGCTCAATATAATCTAAGAAAAAGAAACTTTGTACAATGTTCGCTGATCGTAATGATAACTTTGAACTGTGCCAAAGCATGCATCCAAGCATGCACGGAAGGCAGACTCGTGGTGGCTCCTAGCAACACAAACACGGTTGCTTAGGGATTATGACTGGAGGTTCTCTCCTTAAATATTTTGTGGTCATTTTGTTTACAAGTAAAAAATGCCAAAAAGAAAAAAAACAAGCTTGTCCAAGACAAACCCAAAGAGAGTGCTGGTCTGTGGCACTCAAAACAAACAGTGGAGGAGCAGCGGCTGTCTCAACAGCAAACAAACAGCGAAGGCACATCAGCAGCACAGGCTGAGGAAACTGCAGAGCAGCGAGCATGGAGACAAGCCAGAGGCTGCACAGTTACTGCAGCAGCACAGGCTGAGGAAAATCTTGAACAGCGAGCATCAAGACAAGCCAGTGAATGCACATTTACTGCAGAAGCACAGACTGAGGAAAATCCTGAACAACGTGATGTCCTCTTTCCCCACCCCCACCCCAAAATGTGTACAGTTACTATAGTCAGTAGATACTGCTGTAGAGTCAGTAAATACTATAGTCCAAGGCCGTAGCCATGGAGTCAACATTGGGGGGGACCAAATCTTCCAGGGTGTCTCTGGGGGTTCCAACCCAGAAAAATATCTAAGTTAGAAAACGAATTTTCTGTCTAAAATATTTAAAAATTCACTAACACATGGGATGGACTTTTTTTTATATATTTTTTTACAATGTCTAAGTGTATTGTATTACATTGCTCTGTTTTTACTTTTTTTTTTACCATTTCTTGTTTCATTGTATGTAATGGCAGAGATTAGGGATTCATAAAGTACAACCATAACCACAATCATATAAACAGAAATCTATGCATTGATTTATATGAAGACAAGTTCAGATATTGTGGCCAAGGTTTAGCAAATTGTTGTTTTTATTTACATAGCATAGCAATTTTTTTTTATATAGCAATATATTGGGGGGGACATTTTGAGCATATTTGAATATACGTGTGTGTCCCCCAATATATATTATAACTAGCTTTACTACCCGGCTTTGCCCGGGACTTGGATTCACCACACCAGGCTGCCTTTGTCTCCCCAGTGGTGATGTTCACACACCACACCAGTTGCTCGTTTGAGGCTAGAGGAGGCCCAGGAGTGGTTAAAATAATCGTCACCGGTGGTGGCCGTGAGCAGGAATCGAACTCGGGTCGCTGGGTTCGGAGCGCAGCGCGCTAACCACTACACTACAATGCGTTACGCTTCCACATGCGTGGGTCACATGACAGATTTGACGTCACAGCTCACTTGCCGTGCAAAAAAGAGATGCATTATTGTGCACACCCCCCCCCCCCCCCCCCCAAAAAGTGTATTTTTTATAATTTTTCCATGGTGTACAATCTGGAAAGTACCCACATGGCAAATTTCAAGTTTGTTGCATGTCGGGAAGTACGCTAAACATTTTGAACAGACACACATAATCACAATTTAGCCTTTTATATATGGAGATCACGGCCTTGCTATAGTCAGTAGATACTACTGTCGTCAGTAGATACTACTGTCGTCAGAAGATACTATTGTTGTCCGTATACTACTGTAGTTAGTAGATACTACTGTAGAGTCAGTATATACTGATTCTATTGTATGTAGGGTGTGTAGGTATATATGCCGACAAAATAAATCTAACTGGGTGGAGGGGGGGTTGATAATTTTTGGAAACATTTTCGATCAACTATTTACCCCCCACTTTATCTAACGTTTTTTATTCGGGCCGTCTGTAAGGCTCTTCTTAATTTGTTTATGGACAAATAGACAAACGGAACGCTGGGCTTTTATAATAGCTTAGTATTTGTGTATATGTTATGTTTTTAAGAGAAGACAAGTTTTGAAATATATATTTTTCCCCCGGGCAAAGCAGGATACTTCCTGCTAGGATATTCTAATTCACTCGCCTGCAACTGCAGCCATTGAGAAAAAGGGAACGATTTCACGACTGTGCCTGTGTCATGCTAGGTGTAATATAACATCACGTGACATTGTGATTTCATAGTAGGCAAGGAACATGTACAAGTAGTCGATTGGAAGAGGCACCACCACCTGTCGTGTCCCAATCCCTGTGGGTTCGTAACCTAGTTCAGTGTTCACTGTGATTGTGATGAACTGTGGAGTGATATTGTCTGATGGCGCTCATCACGGAGAGTTGAGGGAGTGGACTGTTTGTTTAGCTTGGGTAATAAGCATCTAACACGCACAAGTCATCCTAAATCCAAAGGCTGTAGGGTAAGGAATACCAACACGGAACACAACGGGCCGGTGTGGGTAGGACAACGCCTAGCCGCCTGCTAATGTTTACGCACCGAACCATTTAAGGTTAAGTCAACCCACGGGGGACCCACGGGCCAAGCTATTCATCATGGATGTTAGCCGGGTTCGTGGCGAAATGCCCTAACCACTAAACTACCGCTCCCTACTATCAATAACAGCCATTTGCCACGATGACGTCAAGACGGTGCATGTGCCAGGCTAGGTGCACTATTGAGTGCGACGTTAACTGTATATGGTTCGTTGGTGTTATGAGTTGAACCCCCCCCCCCCCTCAGAGCTTTAATAAGACTCCTATAGAGAAAGTGCTGTCAGTGGGTGGCCAGCACGACACCCGGCCGTCTTTGTTTACCCCTCGGAGAGGTTCAGATAATTAATCATCACTGGTGTTGGTCGTGGGCTCGATTCGGAGCGCAGCGCGCTAACCACTGCGCCACCGCTCCCCACACACATGACACAGATCGATGCCACGTATCGCCTTAACCAGACTTTGGGCGAGTGCTGCTAGATAGCACCTATAAAGGCCCGAACGGCACACGAGGGGGTGGGTGGCCAGCACCACGCCCTGCTGCCTTTGTCTCCACAGTGTTGCGATGTTTACACACCGCACCGGTAGTCATTTGAGGCTGAGTCGACCGAGAGGAGGCCCAGGACCGGTTCAGATAATCATCACTGACGTTGGCAATGAGCGGGAATCGAACTCGGATGGCGAGGTTTGTAACACAGCGCGCTAACCACTGCGCCTCCGCTCCCCGTACACATGAATATACCAACTCACGGACAGCGAGGAAGGGGCAAGCAGAGTTACATATCTCCATGAGCGTGGGGAGGCGGATGGTCACCTGCGAACACCTGCTGCAGTAAAACCTCCCGCGCCTCCTCCGCATTATCCTCCTCCACCTCGCCTTCGCCGCCGAGTATCGCGCGCGGCGCCTCCATGGCGTTGGCGCGGGCCGGGGACGACACAAGACCGCGTGACGTCATCGACGGGCGACGCCCACCGCTTGTGCACTGCGATGGCCCCTGAGCAAGATGGCAGCCTTGGGCAGCGCCGTTTTTTTGTTCCACGGACTGGCGGCCATAATAAAGGGGGAGGTGGGCGTTTTTATTCTGGCAAATCGTCGATGATGCTGGATGTAATTCCTGACGAAACGTCGTACTCGGATTGTAAATGTTGTGGATTTGCTCTCCAACATCGCGTAAATATAAAGGTGTCTCTTTGGTTCTGTCGGTAAAGTCACATGGAAAGAAAATAATATAATACGACGTTTCGATTGCAACACAACCAACCGTCATCTGGTATGAATGAATGCAAACTCGGAGGGAGACATATACAGAGAGACACACATGTGGGAGAGACACAAAGAGACACACAGAAACAACGCATCTGTGACGAGGCATTATATAGAGAGAGGGGGGGAGCAGGGAAATTAGCATGTCAATTGGAGCAGTAGGGGGAGAGAGATTTGAAGTTTGAGAGAGAAATAATAAAAGAGAAAGAAATAAGAAAACAAGCCTAGTAAAATTTTGAACTGGAATGCAATGCAACAGAGAATCGGCTAACACAACAGTTAACATCTTCTTGGTTCTTTCGGTAAAGTCACGTAGAAGGGAAGTAATAAAATAATAAAAATAAAACATAATAAAACAATTCTCACGACGTTTCGGCCACAACGCAAGCAGCCGTCCTCAGGTGAAAACCAGGTCCGTCGAGGCGACAGAGTCTGAATGAAACAGCACACGAGCTTGGAGCATATATATAAGCTGGGCGCATTGACAAAGGAATTTGCATATCAAAAGGAATTTAGCATATTTATGGGAAATGCAGGAATGTGATTAGTACTGCATATGCATGTGCATTATGCAGGATTAACAGCATCAAAGGGAGCTGCAGTTACTGCTGCTGCTGCAGTTTCTGCTGCTGCTGCACTTGCTGCTGCTGCTGCACTTGCTGCTGCACTTGCTGCTGCTGCTGCACTTGCTGCTGCTGCTGCACTTGCTGCTGCTGCTGCACTTGCTGCCTTATCCATTTTAATATAACACTATGTATTATTCTACCCACCCTGTGTATCATACTGCTATATGTTTACTGTACAATTACGACGTTCTTCTTGGTTGATTACTTACCTAGTTGATTACGTTCTCTCTGCGTGTGTCTGTGTCTCTCCCCCATGTGTCTGTGTGTGTTTGTCTCTCTCTCTGTGTATGTGTCTCTCTCCGTGTCTGTGTTCGTCTCTCTGTATATGTCTCCCTCCGAGCTTGCATTCATTCATACCTGATGACGGTTGCTTGTGTTGCAATCGAAACCTCGTATTCTATTTATTTTCTTTTCTTTCTACGTGACTTTACCGAAAGAACCAAAGAGTAATTCCTCCAGTCACAAAAGCTTCAAATCAAGTTCATAAATGTGTCGATAAACCCACCAACGCCCAACTGCCAATTAGTAAGGTTTGTCACGTAAACAGAACATGCCAATTCGTTACTTGTGCAGTGGCATAGCGCTGGTTGCTGGACGTTAGGGGCCGTCCATAAATGGCGTCACGCACCTAAGGGGGAGGAGGGGGGTCAGACATTTGTGACGAGAGGGGGGAGGGTTTGAGAAATGTGACGTCACGTAAAAATGAGCAAATAAAAAAATATAAACAAGTTCTACTTAATTCTAGATTTGAAGCTTTCGTAACTGCAAGGATTCATATTCTTAGTTTTTTTCGGTAAAGTCACGTAGGTAAAACATTAAAATTAATTAAAGTAAAATAAAATAAAAATCCCGACGTTTCGGAGGCAACACAAGCTTCCATCTTCAGGTGGAACCGTCACAGCCACGACAGCTGTATCAAGTAAATGAGAGATTGCAGGAGCTACCACTCCGTTTATATAATGGTTGGAGAGGGGGGGGGGGTAAGGGCCAAGTAAAGCACACTTTTTATTCATATAGTAAGGTGAGGCTTAAGAGGGTGAGCCTTTGTTATGGAGAGGTACGGTTTGTGGCTCAACCTGTGACAAGGAGACAACCACTAAACATGGTAAACCTGTAATAGTCTGTCAAGTAAGATTGGCCAACTAAGTGTAGTTATTCATAATCAACGGTTTTGGGTTTAGATCGCGTTATTTATAAATGTGTCGTAACGCGATCTAAACCCAAAAACGTTGATTATGAATAATATTGGTCGCGAAAGCCTACGTGTTAAACTAAGTGTAATTAAATCTTTTTTGCATGGTTAATCACATCTTTCCAATGATTACTCAGTTTGTAACCATCATCACGGTTGAAATTATGTCTGTGTATATTTGTATGGCTTCGTGTACAAACCTTTGATGGTAGCCAGGAGGTTTGCAGAGAACCTTGGTCTCGGAAAAGACAATTTCATGAGAGCCCACCGAGTTGTAGCAATGATCGGCAACGGCCGAAGAATCGGTTCTGCCGTGTTTCAGATCTGACTTGTGCTCGCGAACACGATCAGAAACATGACGTTTCGTTTCTGCAATGTAGCAATCACCACAAATGCAACTCAATTTGTAGACTCCAGGATACTGTAAGTCAGGAACGACATCCTTCACAGATGGAATCAGATCACGGATTTTATGCACTGTACTGAATCAGACTTGGATCTTATGTTTGTTTAGAATTTTGGAGATCTTTTTGGTCACGCCTGCTATGTATGGTAACGTGATAGTTTTGGTCGGAGTTTCATGTGGCTGTTTCTGTGTGGTGGGAGAAACAGCTTGGCGGATAGTGCGGTCAGAATATCCGTTCATCCTGAGGGCCCGATGTACATGTCTTAATTCACTGGCCAGGTGGTGTTGGTCAGAAATGCCATGGGCTCTGTGGTATAGCGTTTTGATGAGATAATTATTTTTAGATCGGTGGTGGTGGGAATCCGGTTTCAAGTAGGAATCTGTGTGGGTGGCTTTCCTGTAGACAAAATGTCCCTAGTATCCGTCAGGCCTCCTCTCAAACAGAATATCCAAGAATCGGTAGTTTACCATCTTTCTCCACTTCCATGGTGAATCTGATGGATGGGTGTCTAGAATTGATGTGGTCCAAGAAGTGGTTCAATGCTGGGAGGCCATGTGGCCAGATGACGAAAGTGTCATCCACATACCTCTTCTACAGGGAAGGACGCAGGGTGGATGTCTGGATGGCGTCTGATTCAAACTTTTCCATGAACATGTTGGCTATAACTGGTGACAAGGGGGAGCCCATAGGGGTACCCTCATTCTGTTTGTAGAAGGTGCCATTCCAGGTAAACTAGGTGTTGGTGAGGCAATGCCTAACCAGCGCAGGTACATCAGAATTCAATCCATGTTGGACTAAGTCCTCAATTATTGTTAGGGTGTCCGGTACTGGGACTTTGGTGAACAAAGATACTACATCAAAGCTGATGAGGATGTCATCAGGAGATAGTACCATGTCCTTAATCATAGAGACTAATTGGGTTGAGTTGAGTACTGCCGAAGAGGTCTTGCCTGTGAAGGGGAGCAGAGTATCTGATATAAAACGGGCTAGTTTGTACGTAGGAGAGTTTATCGTCGACACGATGGGTCGTAGCGGGGTGCCTTCTTTATGGATTTTGGGAAGACCATAGAGTCTGGGAGGTCTAGCCGCCGATGGTTTTAGGGAGGAACGTTTGCTTGGTTCGATTAGGGAAGTCAAACTCGTGATGATACTGTTGGTTTTTGTCGTTAGGCTTTTAGTGGGATCGTTTTTAATTTTGGAGTAACTCCCATCATTAAGAAGGTCCAGGATTTTGTTGTTGTATGAATCTTTATCCATGATGACCGTGGCATTGCCCTTGTCTGCCGAGAGGATGACTATATCATCTCTCTTTTTTAGGTCCGCGAGTTCAGAGCGTTCGTTTTTGCTGATGTTACTAGTGGGTTTCTTAGCATTCTTAAGAATAGTAGCTATTTCAGCTCTTGCTACATCTGCATGGATGTGTCCTATGCCTCTGAGGGCTACATCAATCTGAGAAATCATATCCTCTACTGGTATATATTTAGGGGTGATGGTGAAATTTAGTCCTTTGGCCAGAACCGTTTTTAGATTGTTTAGAAATCTGATTAATCACGGTCTTGTTAACATCCAGCTTTGCGATGTGTGGCTCTGGTTTCTTCTTAGATAGGAGGTTGAATTTAGAAATCAGGTTAGCTTTGCATTTGGCTGACATTGAGTCAGCAGAAGCAGAAGTCATGTTACATATTGTGGTGGTGGTACCTGCTATGATGAGAGCAGTACATACTGTGGTGGTACCTGCTATGATGACAGCAGTACATACTGTGGTGGTGGTACCTGCTCTGATGAGAGCAGTACATACTGTGGTGGTGGTACCTGCTATGATTACAGCAGTGCATACTGATTATACTCACCCTCACCACTCACAACTCACCCTCACCACTCATCCTCACCACTCACCCTCACCACTCACCCTCACCACTCACCACTCTCACCATTCACCCTCATCATTCAGCCTCACCACTCACCCTCACCACTCACCCTCACCACTCACCGTCACAACCACCGCTCAGACTCATCACTCACCCTCACCACTCACCCTCACTACTCACCACTCACCCTCACCACTCAACCTCACACTCACCTCTCACCCTCACCACTCTCCACTAACCCTCACCACTCAGCACTCACGCTCACCACTCAGTGAGTGGTGTGGGTGAGTAGTGAGTAGTGGGGGTGAGGGTGAGTGGTAAGGGTGAGTGGTGGTTGTGAGGAAGAGTGGTGAGGGTGATCGTGAGTGGTGAGAGTGAGTGGTGAAAGTGAGTGGTGAGTGGTGAGTGGTGACGGTGAGTGGTGAGCGAGAGTGGTGAGCGAGAGTGGTGAGTGGTGAGGGTGAGTGGTGAGGATGAGTGGTGAGGAAGAGTGGTGAGGAAGAGTGGTGAGGGTGAGTGGTGCTGTGGTGGTACATACTATGATTACAGCAGTGTATACTGCTGTGGTGGTACCTATG